GGCTGCTCTGTCCCAGGGATGAGGTACACCAATGTCTTGAACCCACAGGCCATGACAGGCCACTGCTCCTCTTCCGTGTTTCCTCACCACCAGCAAAGCACTTCAGTTTGCAGAGGCAGAATTTCGTCCCATGTAATTCCATTACTTTCACCAAAGAAGCATATTTCTGTGGGTACCAATTGCCAGGAGGTATGGGGTGGGAGAAGAAACTAAACAGCGACATCCCAACATATAGAGTCAGGTCCAGAAATATTGGGACATCGACACAATTCTAACATCTTTGGCTCTATACATCACCACAATGGATTTGGAATGAAACAAACACAATGTGCTTTAACTGCAGACTGTCAGCTTTAATTTGAGGGTATGTACATCCAACTCAGGTGAACGGTGTAGGACTTACAACAATTTGCATATGTGCCTCCTACTTGTTAAGGGACCAAAAGTAATCTGATAGTGACAGCTCTTTGGATCTCATCTTGAGAGTTGACAGCAACAGATTCCAAATGCAAATAGCACACTTGAAATGAACTCTGGGCCTTTTATCTGCACATTGTAATTGGGGTACTGAGGGGATATCACACACCTGGCCATGGAACAGCTGAGAAGCCAATTGTCCCATTACTTTTGGTCCCTTAACAAGTAGGAGGCACATATGCAAATTGTTGTAAGTCCTACACCGTTCACCTGAGTTGGATGTACATACCCTCAAATTAAAGCTGACAGTCCTGATAGTGACAGCTCTTTGGATCTCATCTTGAGAGTTGACAGCAACAGATTCCAAATGCAAATAGCACACTTGAAATGAACTCTGGGCCTTTTATCTGCACATTGTAATTGGGGTACTGAGGGGATATCACACACCTGGCCATGGAACAGCTGAGAAGCCAATTGTCCCATTACTTTTGGTCCCTTAACAAGTAGGAGGCACATATGCAAATTGTTGTAAGTCCTACACCGTTCACCTGAGTTGGATGTACATACCCTCAAATTAAAGCTGACAGTCCTGATAGTGACAGCTCTTTGGATCTCATCTTGAGAGTTGACAGCAACAGATTCCAAATGCAAATAGCACACTTGAAATGAACTCTGGGCCTTTTATCTGCACATTGTAATTGGGGTACTGAGGGGATATCACACACCTGGCCATGGAACAGCTGAGAAGCCAATTGTCCCATTACTTTTGGTCCCTTAACAAGTAGGAGGCACATATGCAAATTGTTGTAAGTCCTACACCGTTCACCTGAGTTGGATGTACATACCCTCAAATTAAAGCTGACAGTCTGCAGTTAAGGCACATTGTGTTTGTTTCATTCCAAATCCATTGTGGTGATGTATAGAGCCAAAGATGTTAGAATTGTGTCGATGTCTCAATATTTCTGGGCCTGACTGTATGCTAGCAAGCTATGATTGCAGTTCTAACTTCACCTGAATGTAAGGCCTAATCCAGCAGTCAGCTAGCTCACGAAGAGTGCCGTATCTATGATTAAACTCTTTCGGATTGCACTGGCTCAGAAGCCGGCAGATCTCTGTGATTAGAAAAGACACAACCAGGTATTTATCCAACAGTTCACTCCTGGAACTTCCCAAGACTTCCAGCAGGCCATCGGTGTTGGTCTACCCTGGCTGGGAGTTACTGCATCCTTTGCGCCACTCCCTGGCTCCAAATCCTCTCCTCCTGAGTTCAGCGCCGCCAAGACGTGTCTGCAAGGCAAGGCAGCCAGAAGTCTGGCTGAAACGGCAGGTGCAGCCATGGAAACCCTTTGGCCGCGCTCCCTGGGCATCTCCCAAAAGCTGAATGACGACTGTGCCGGCACTGGTTCCTGTCAAACAGGCAGACTTCTGAACCACTGCCAATTCATTCAGGCAGAGCCTCGCTGCAGGCTCCATACAGATGCTGCTCAATGACTGCTTCAGGTACCCTTCAGCCTCCCTGGCAGAGACTGTAGCCTCCCGCTCACTTCCTGCACGCTCGGCAGCCACCAGGTCCTTGGGCTTCGGGGGGGGGTGTCTGTGGGGTTGCAAGAGGAGGACACCAAGGGAGGAGAGGCCTTGGAGAGTTTGCACTTTAACTGAGAATGGCCTGAAAGCTGAGGGAGTCCAGCTGGGAGTTTGCAAGCCCCACTCTGGGCTCAGCAAGTCCTTCACGGCGTCAAGGGCCAATGCTCCCTGTAAGCCTCTTGGACTCTGGTTCTGGAGGGGCTTTTCCTTGTGATTCCAGCACAGGGAAGGGCCGTGGTCCTGCTGCAACCGTCACACTTCAGGCTTGGAGGGCAAAGCCTAGCGAGAAGACCAAGTGGTTAAGCAGAGACGTACCCGCGGGAGCTGCTCTACTGGTGTGCAAAGAAATAAGGCAGAATCACCTCGAACAACACCCCAAACAGAAGAGTTTTTGATAGTGTGTAACTCGTTTCGCTAGAGTTAAGAAATTGATGTAAAGACTGAATGGTCTGAAACGTTTTAAGGGCGAAACTGATTTCTTTGATGATTTCCAGGTGGGGAAGGACAAAGGCCCCACAGCGTGAGGAAACCAGGCGCCAGACTGGGCGTGCACGGGGGGAAAGGACCAACTTTCGGCGACGCCCCATTCGCAGGCGCGAGGCAGCTTCCACGTCCGAGCCGCTCCAGCAGCAGGTCCGCCCGGATGCCTGCGAAGCCCTGGCCGGGCCGAAG